GCCGCCACTCGCCGTGAAGCCGCGGCCTCGAGCGGCGGGGGGGAGGGGGGGGGGAGGCCAAAGTGTTGTGCACGCACCAGGCGGTCCGACCTCTCAGAACACAGCATGGGGAAGTCTCTCTCTCTCTCTCTCTCTCTCTACATATTTATACATATAAATGTACATCTCTCTCCCTCTCCCTCCCTCTCCCTCTCTCTCTCTCTCGTCTCTCGCTCTCTGTCTCTCTCTCTCTCTCTCTATCTCGCTTTTTCTTTTTCTCTCTCTCTCTCTCTCTCTGTCTCTCTCTCTCTCTCTCTCTCTCTCTTTGCCAATGCGAAAGCTCGCCGCACAGTAGCGCTGCATTGTGGCCGTCTGCCGCGTCCTATCGTCCATCTTTCTCCCCAGGTCTCGGACGGCACGATGTCTTGCAATTTTGTCGCGCACTTCCCTGATGTCCCAGCGCGACCCCCCTGGGCTCGACACCCGGGCGTGCCTCCCCGATGTCGGCCTCCTGGGCCCCTTTTGTCGGGCCCCAGGGCCAGAAACGGATCCGGGGCGAAAACCTCTCCTCCTCCTCCTCCTCCTCATCCTCCTCCTCCTCCTCCTCCTCCTCCTCCTCCTCCTCCTCCTCCCCCTCCTCAGGGAATGAGTCGGGACCTAAGGGGCCGCGCATTGAAAAGATCGTATCGTCGAATGTCTGGGGTCCGATCCTCGAGAAATTTGCCGGCTTCCCCACCCAGACCTCACGACGCGACGGTTGATCGAGGAGGAGAAGGAGGAGGAGAAGGAGGAGGAGGAGGAGGAGGAGGAGGAGGAGGACCAGTGCAAACCCAAGACTCATCAACGATGTTGGAGTAAACCCTCCCTCCAAGCTCCCTCTTCCTGGGCCCCTACAAGATTCATGTCCACTCGAGGAAGTGCGCAAGTCTCAGGCGAGACGCCCGGCCCGTCCTTTCGACCAGCCTCGAGGTGCGACACGGAGGAGTTATTAAGAAGGAAAGGGATGGAGGAGGAGGAGGAGGAGGAGCAGGAGGAGGAGGAGAGGGGGGAGGAGGAGAAGGATTTGGAGAAGGAGGAGGAGGAGGAAGGGAGAGGGGAGGCGGAGTAGTAAGAGGAGGCGGAGGCGGAAGGAGTGCCAGCCAACCTCCGCGGTGGAGGATGATGGTAGATGGTAGAGGGAGCGGCACTGGCTCGGGTGGGGGGGCGCGGACAGGATAACGAGCTCAGAGGCTGGAACTGCAAGTGGCCGCGCTCACCTATCAGTCGGGGAAACGCAAGGCTCGAGTACGCCAGAACTCGGATTTGCCGACGCTTTTTGGCGAGCGCGTCCTGAATTTTGACGGTCTTGTTTTTTACGGGATGTTTGCAGCGGGAGTTCGCGTCTAATTTCAGAGTGGGTCTCGTCACTTTCACGAGCCCCGTCAGGCTAACCCGAGTCCCCCGAACCCGAGTCTAACGTCCCCCCGACGGGTCGGAGCCGCACTTTCCTCCACCGTCGTCCTGCATCGCCCCCCCTCGGAGAGGCCTCTGGGGGCCCCTGGAGGCTCCCTGGAGGCCACCCCGGGGGCTCGCACGGCTGGCGTCCTCGCGTGCTGCGGGGTCGCGCCGCGTCGTTGCGGCGGCGACGCCGAAGCGGGCGTTCAAGGTTGCAGGCCACCGGCGGCCCGAAGCGGGCGAATCTCCACCCATGTCCGTTGTCGGGTGCACCTGGCACGAGGGCCACGGGCAACCCCAGCTCTGGAGGGGCACCCGGATGCTCGCCGCCGCCGGGCTCGCCACCCTGGAGCGCTCCTCGCTTCTGGGGGGCGGCGGGGGTTCTCCACATGGCCGTCGTCATCCCTCGGCGAGGGTGCTCCTGCTCCTGAGTCACGACCGCGGTCGGGAACTCTGGGATGTCGTGTCGCTCCGCCGGCTCTGTCCTTCTGCACGCACGAAATGGGTATTGAAAGAATGGGTACAATGCCCAACAGCAGTTCCTGTTCATTTTGAGCAGGACTCGCTGTCCGCGCCGCCGCGGCCCGTGTCCGTTCGAGACAGAAGGGCCGCCTGCCCAACAGCGGCCCCTGTTGGTTTGGGACAACATTTGCTGCTGGGCAGTGTACCCATTTTTTCCGTACCCATTTCGGGCGTCCAAAATGGTACCAATACCGCTGCCCTTCGCCCGTTTTCCCCTTTTTCGGCCTCCTCGGAGGCCCTCGTTGTTACCGCTGGATTCGCTTCGAAATCCTGGTCGAAACGCACCCCGGGAGAGGTCCGGGGAGTAGCGGTATCGGTACCCTTTGGTTTCCCCAAGATCCTTTTAGTGGTTTCCGTACCCGTTTCGGGCGTCCAAAGTCCCCCTCCACGCTTCGGCGAGGCACGCCGTCCACTCCCCGGCCCGAAGGGCGCCCCGCCTTGCCGCCCGCCGCTCCGCGGAGCGGGGGGCGGCACGCTGCCGCCGGGGCCGATCGACGGCGGCCCGTGGAGCAGAAGCTCCCGACGGCAGGTGTGGCCAGGAGGGGGAAAAACACACAGACACAATCAATCGCGGATCTCTTGGAAAATATGGGAAAATATGGGAAGTGGGGGGGAAGACGAAAATCCAAAAAATATTGGAAAATATGGGGAATCCTGTTATCTGTGTGTATTTATTTGTGTGTCTCAGGGCCCCTTTCTGTAGGTGTGGCCATGCTTCGGTTCAGTCGAGCACGTCCCTCCACAGGTTTCTTCCAACATCCGCCTGCAGGAGGACACGCCCGACCTGATGTCGGTATCGTTTAACCGATCCCCATCCCCATCCCCATCCCCTTCGAGACCCCCACCAAAGTGCCCCCCCCAGTTGGGGATGCGCCCCTCGGAACCCGAAGGGAACGGCCTGTATCCCCATCTAGGGGGGTAAATCGGCCAGTGGGGCCCAGGCCACGCCGCTGGGGATGGGGATCGGTGAAACGATACTCAGCTTCGGCTGCAGCCGACATCGATGAAGACCGAACGACCTATAAGCACGCTCCCGCCGTCGACGCGGCGGGAGCGTCGGCCGTGACGCCTGCGGCGCCCGGCACCCGGGGGGTCCTTGGAGGCCTCCCCTGGGGCGTCGAGAGGACCCAAGGACGTCTGGAAGCCTCGATTTTCGAGCGACGACCAACGCTCGACGACGACGACGACTACGACGACAAGCAACGAGCAACAAGTCACGGTCGACGACGACTAGCAACGATCGACGACGACGACGACGACGACGACGATGACGATGACGACGACGACGACGACGACGACGACGACGACGACGACGACGACGACGACGACGGCAACCATGACGACGATGAGCAACGATCGACGACGACGACGACGAGCAACGATCGCCGACGACGACGACGACGACGACCACGACGATCACGACGAGTAACGGTCGACGGCGACGACGAGCAACGATCGACAACGACGAGCAACGATCGACAACGACGACGACGACGACGAGCAACGATCGACGACGACGAGCAAGGATCGACGACGACGACGACGACGGCAGCGACGACGAAGACGACGACGACGGCGACAACCACGACGATGACGACGACGGGGACGACGGGGACGACGACTACGACGACGACGAACAAAGATCGACGACGACGACGACCACGAGCGAGCAACGATTGCCGACGACGACGACGACGACGACGACGACGGCAGTGACGACGAAGACGACGATGACGGCGACAACCACGACGACGACGACGACGGGGACGACGACTACGACGCCGACGAGCAACGGTTGCCGACGATGAGCAACGATCGACGACGACGACGACGAGCAATGATTGCCGACGACCACGACGACGAGCAACGAAAGACGACAACGACGAGTAACGAGCGACGACGACCACGACGACGACGACGACGACGACGACGACGACAACAAAAACGACGACGACGACCACGACCAACGACGAGCAACGATCGACGACGACGACGATGAGCAACGATCGACGACGACGACGAACAACGATTGACGACGGCGACGACGACGCCGACGACGACGACGATCACGACGATCGCGACGAGCAACGATCGACGACGACGACGAGCAACGATCGACGACGATGAACAACGATCGACGATGACGACGACGACGACGACGACGACGACGACGACGACGACGACGAACAACGATCGACGACGACGACGACGAGCAACGATTGCCGACGACGACGACGACGACGACGACGACTACGTCGACAACGGTGGCAGCGACGACGAAGACGACGACGACAGCGACAACCACGACGACGACGACGACGGGGACGACGACTACGACGCCGACGAGCAACGATCGACGACGATGAGCAAGGAACGACGACGACGACGACGACGACGACGACGACGACGACGAGCAACGATTGCCGACGACGACGACGACGAGCAACGATCGACGACGACGACGAGCAACGATCGACGACGACCACGACGACGACGACGACCAACGACGAGCAACGATCGACGACGACAAAGAGCAACGATCGACGACGACGAACAACGATCGACGACGACGACGAGCAACGATCGACGACGACGAACAACGACCGACGACGATCGACGACGACGACGACGACGACGACGACCACGACGTCGACGATGACGATGACGACGACGACGACGACGACGACGACGACGACGGCAACCACGACGACTATGAGCAACGATCGACGACGACGACGATGAGCAACGATCGCCGACGACGACGACGACCACGACGATCACGACGAGTAACGGTCGACGGCGACGACGAGCAACGATCGACAACGACGAACAACGATCGACGACGACGACGACGACGACAACCACAACGACGACGACCAACGACGAGCAACGATCCACGACGACGACGAGGAACGATCGACGACGACGAGCACGACGAGCAACGATCGACGACGACGACGACGACGATCACGACGTTCACGACGAGTAACGATCGACGGCGACGATGAGCAACAATCGACAACGACGAGCAAGGATCGACGACAACGACGAGCAACGATCGACCA